AAACTCGAAGTTTCTCGGATCAACCTGGTCTCTGTCTCCAGTTGCAAGAGTTGCAGGTGATCCTGAGCCCTTGTTCACGACCATCACTCGATGACGTCACTGTCACGTGTCTGCCTGTTGTAGCAAATGAGAGATTTAGACTCTGTCAGCTTCAATGTTGTCCTACAGAGAAGCCCCTCTCTCCTGGGAAAAGCTAGTAGGAAAAGAAAAATCAAATTGGAGGAGAAGAGTAGCATCCAGGTGAATTATAAAACTAAAAGGTGACCGCGATGCGGAAAAGCAGAGTCAAGTGGCAGTGCCAAGCTGAAGGAGGCAGAGCTGTGGGCTTTATGAAAATATCAGTCAAATGCAAATGCAAATCGGGTGCTGTATTTGTGTCTGGCCTTGTTACAGCTGGTCCAGGGAAACCTTATTCCATCCACTCCTCAGACTTCTGTTTATTCCCAAATCTCAAGGAACATTGACAAGGAACACAGTTTAAACCCCATGCAGACACTCAAACTGCTTTGATGGGGTTTCCATTGAAGGGGGATGGGGTTCACATTGAAGGGGGCTGGGGTTCACATTGAAGGGGAATGGGGTTCACATTGAAGGGGGATGGGGCTCACATTGAAGGGGGATGGGGCTCACATTGAAGGGGGATGGGTTCACATTGAGGGGTGCACAATTCATTGGGAAGGGTTAGCTCCCCGCCATCAAGTCAATTCTGACTCATAGCAATCTTTTTTTTTTTCTTTTCCCCACAGCAACTCTTCTGCATAGGGTAGAACTGCCTCGTGGATTTTCAAAGCTGTAAGTCTTTACAGGAACAGAATGCCTCATCCATCCCCCTCAGAGCAGCTAGCGGTTTCAAACTGCTGACCTTGTGGCTAGCAACCCATCTTTTGCTCCCACTCTATCCAGGACCCTCTTCAGCGGTTCTCAACCTGTGGATCGAGACCCCTTTGAGGGTCGAACGACCCTTCCATGGGGGTCACTTAAGACCATTGGAAAACACATCTTTCTGATGGTCTTAGGAACCGAGACACCGCTCCTCGATCTGTCTCCAGGCAGGTCTGCCTACATGCAGATACGCCCACCTACGAGTACCGGCGTGAAGACTGTGACCCATGCTACATTATGTTCAATCTGTAACAATGAAAATACATCCTGCCTAGATGGTCCTGGTCATTCAGGCTCAGTGACTCTCAAGGACTTTTGTTACATGTAAGACCTTTTTATAACTTTGCTCCTTGTATGCGCCAGCATATTCACGGGTATGATGTCAGCCAAGGTAAATACACGTATACAAATATCCTCTGTCAAATCTATCTATATGTGTGCGCATTCCTCACCCCACACCCCCATTCTTCCTGTTCAGCCTGTGTCTATCCAGACATCCACCTGCAGCTCGCTGCCATCGCAGAATTGTGTATTTGCCTCTGTTGCCTTTATCTCCTGCAAAACTGCGACGTCTTGCTCTGCTTCCATCACTTTTTTGTAGACCTCCCTCTTAATGTATGTTGCCTTCCCTCTCCCCGCAGTTAACATTGATGATCTCTCTTCTAGCCAGTGACTCCCCTCACCCCCACCCCCGGGGTCCTTCTCCTCCCACCCCTGGCAATGATCAAAGAAACTTTATTTTAGTGTAAAAACTTTGTCTTGACTTTTTTTTACCAGTGGGCCCATTTAATATTTGTCCTTCTGTGGGTCGTTAATTTCACTCAACATAATGTCTTCCAAGTTCCTGCATATTACCAAAGCTTGTTTACCCATTCTTCCGCTGACGGCGTTCAGGTTGTTTCCACCTCTGTGCTATGGCGAACAGTGCTGTGAAGAACACTGCTAGGGGGGTAGGTACGTATGGACTCCGGTTGCAGGTCTCACTTCCCTAGGATACATGCCCATAGGGGATTGTTGTGCCCTAGAGCATCTCTAGTCCCAACTTCTGGAGACCACGCTGCCGAGCTTTCCACAGTGGCTGTGCCATTTCACAGGCCAACCAGCTGTGTAGACGTTGCTTTGTGCGCTCGTCAGCATTTGTTGGGATCTGTAGTTCTGGTTTTAACTTTGTGGGACTCTACTTTTGATTTACCCTTCTGTATTTTTGAGATTTGAAACTAGAAGAATTCTAAAGGGGTGATATCAGAGCTGCAGGGTGTCGGGGGTCAGGTTTCCCGAAGGAATTTTTGTAGGACGGTCCTTGCTAGCAGATAAGAATGAACAGGTGCATTGT